TCTGTGTGTGTGTGAGGAGGCCTGGTGCGGGTAGAGTGTTTCAGTGTCTGTGTGTGTGTGAGGAGGCCTGGTGCGGGTAGAGTGTTTCAGTGTCTGTGTGTGTGTGAGGAGGCCTGGTGCGGGTAGAGTGTTTCAGTGTCTGTGTGTGTGTGAGGAGGCCTGGTGCGGGTAGAGTGTTTCAGTGTCTGTGTGTGTGTGTGAGGAGGCCTGGTGTGGGTGGAGTGTTTCAGTGTCTGTGTGTGAGGAGGCCTGGTGCGGGTAGAGTGTTTCAGTGTCTGTGTGTGCGAGGGAGGAGGCCTGGTGTGAGTAGAGTGTTTCAGTGTCTGTGTGTGTGTGAGGAGGCCTGGTGTGAGTAGAGTGTTTCAGTGTCTGTGTGTGCGAGGGAGGAGGCCTGGTGTGGGTGGAGTGTTTCAGTGTCTGTGTGTGTGAGGAGGCCTTGTGCGGGTAGAGTGTTTCAGTGTCTGTGTGTGAGGAGGCCTGGTGCGGGTAGAGTGTTTCAGTGTCTGTGTGTGTGAGGAGGCCTGGTGCGGGTAGAGTGTTTCAGTGTCTGTGTGTGTGAGGAGGCCTGGTGCGGGTAGAGTGTTTCAGTGTCTGTGTGTGTGTGAGGAGGCCTGGTGCGGGTAGAGTGTTTCAGTGTCTGTGTGTGTGAGGAGGCCTGGTGCGGGTAGAGTGTTTCAGTGTCTGTGTGTGTGTGAGGAGGCCTGGTGTGGGTGGAGTGTTTCAGTGTCTGTGTGAGGCCTGATGCAGGTAGAGTGTTTCAGTGTCTGTGTGTGTGAGGATGCCTGGTGCGGGTAGAGTGTTTCAGTGTCTGTGTGTGTGAGGAGGCCTGGTGCAGGTAGAGTGTTTCAGTGTCTGTGTGTGTGAGGAGGCCTTGTGCGGGTAGAGTGTTTCAGTGTCTGTGTGTGTGAGGATGCCTGGTGCGGGTAGAGTGTTTCAGTGTCTGTGTGTGTGAGGAGGCCTGGTGCAGGTAGAGTGTTTCAGTGTCTGTGTGTGTGTGTGAGAGGAGGGAGTGAGAGCGTGAGACTGAGTGGAGGAGGGTGGAGCGGTGGTGTAGCGGTCAGCGCCCTCCGCTCCGAACCCGGCGACCCGAGTTCGATTCCCGCTCACGGTCAACACCAGCGACGATTATCTGAACCGGTCCTGGGCCTCCTCCCCTAGGTCGACTCAGCCTCAAATAAGTACCTGGTGCGGTGTGTAAACATCGCCACGAGGGAGACAAAGGCGGCCGTGCGTGGTGCTGGCCACCCACCCCCTCGTGTGCCGTGCCGGCCTTCATATAGCTGCTCGCTAACAGCACTTGCCCCTACAGTCTGTTAAGGCTATATGGGGGATCTTTGTATGGCTGTGTTGGTATCTGAGTGTGTGTATGGGTGCTCTGGTATGCGAGTGTGTTGGCATGTGTATGTGTATGTAGTTTTAGGTGTGTGCGGGCGAGTGTCAGTCAGCTGTGGAGATATGTAAACAGTATGCACTTAAAATCAGCTGGAACAGTCCGGAACACTGCTCCAGGAATTGTTTAATTATCATGTCCTATGTTACAAAAATAAACCTGTTTAGCGTGGAGTATGTGCCAATGGACGCAATAATATAGTGTTAATACTATTGTGGATAGGTATACCTTGCACTCTCGTGGGACGGCGGCGCTGGTGGTGCAGGGTGTTGTGGGATGGCGCTGGTGGTGCAGCGTGTTGTGAGACGGCGCTGGTGGTGCAGGGTGTTGTGAGACGGCGCTGGTGGTGCAGCGGGTTGTGAGACGGCGGCGCTGGTGGTGCAGCGGGTTGTGGGATGGCGCTGGTGGTGCAGGGGGTAGAGCGCTGCGCTGCGAACCCGGCGACACGAGTTCGATTGCCGCTCACGGCCATCACCCAGTGACCATTATCTGAACCGGGGCCTGAGCCTCCTCCCCTAGATCGACTCGGACTCAAATGAGTAGCTGGTGCGGTGTGTAAACATCGCCACTGGGGAGACAAAGGCGGTCGGGCGTGGTGCTGGCAAAGCTACCCCTCGTGTGCTGTTCCGGCCTTCATAGGTGCTACTCGCTAACAGCACTTGCCCCCAGCATTCTGTTACAGGCTATAGGGGGGATTTACGGGGGGGATCTTTATCTTCGTGAGTTATTGGATGATGAGGTGTATGTGACAGTGCTGGTGTTGGATGATGAGGTGTATGTGACAGTGCTGGTGTTGGATAATGAGGTGTATGTGACAGTGCTGGTGTATGTGTGTTGGTTTCTGGGTACACGTGTGTTGACGCTTCCAAATGTGTACGTGTGGGAGAGTGTAATTGTGCATATGATGGCGAGTGGAGTTCAATACGGTGACGAATATATTAACCGGTTCCTGGGCCTCCCTCCCATAGGTCGACTCAGCCTGAAATGAGTACCTGGTATAAACACGAGCACTGGGGAGACAAAGGCGGACGGGAGTGATTTCTAGCTGCACCACCACCATCATCTCGTGTGCCTTGGTTCTCTTCTCAAGTGCTCGCTAACGACACTTGCCCCAGGCAATCTTGTGTTGTAATCTTTGTTCTTAGTGTGTGTGAGTGCGTGTAGGAGGAGCGGTGGCGCAATGGTTAGCGCGCTGCGCTATAATCCCAGCGACAAGAGTTCGATTCCCGCTCACGGCCAACGCCAGTGACGATTATCTGAACTTGTCAGCATTACCCGCCCTACTTGGCATCTGTGAAAAAGAGCTTCATAGCTCATCGGATTCCTCCAGTCTAAATACAGATTCTTCTTCTGAAACGACTACCTGTTGCGGTGTCTAAATATCGCCACTAGGAAGACAAAGGCGGCCGGGCGTGACCCTTTGTTCGTGTGCACCTCAATAGGTGCTCGCTAACAGCACTTGCCCCAACAGCCTGTTAAGGCTAAACGGGGGATCTTTGTCTTTGTATGCACGTGTGAGTGTGTGGGGCTGTGGGTGAGCGGTGGGGCAGCGGTTAGCGCCACGCTGGGCTACGAACCCGGCGACCCGAGTTCGATTGCCGCTCACGGTTTCACCCGGTGACAAATTTTCTGAACCGGTCCTGGACATCCCCTAGGTCGACTTAGCCACAAATGAGTACCTGGTGCCGGTGTGTAAACATCGTCACTGGAGAGACAAAGGCGGCCAGGCGTGGTGCTGGCCACCCATCCCATCGTGTGCCGTGCCGGCCTTCACAGGTGCTCGCTAACAGCACTTGCCCCTAACAGTCGGGGGATCTTTGTCTTTGTTGGGGTATACTGTGGATTTGTGTCGTTGTATACAACACTGTGTGTGAGTGGCTGTTGGGGTCTGCGCGGGGGATCTTTGTCTTTGTTTTTGGCTGGTGGGGTGGGGTGGTGATCGCGGTGGGGAGGGACGGCGCTGCGTGGTTATTAAAGCGGCTCCCTGTCCACCCCCTGCTCCCTCAGCCTTAGCAGCAGCAGCAGCAGCACGCTCCTCGACTAGACGGCACAACAGCCACCAACACCACCACCACCAACCAAGCCACCAGCTGCTGCTGCTGCTCCTCTTCCACAGCCTGCACACACCCAGCCTGCTGGGTAGAGACACAGCGAGCTGTGTTTGCTCGCCAGGCTCTCAGTCGAGACATCGCCTACTACGCCAGCCGTGGTAGTAGACTTGCGAGACGAGGGTGTAGTAGAGAGGAGTTGTTATTGTTGGTGTTGTTGTAGTGTGCAAGTTGCGTGTTATATTTAGTTGTTGACGTTTTGGGTGCAGGTTGTGAGGTAAATGTTATAGAGAGTGAGGTGGTGCAGGGTGTGAGGTAAATGTTATAGAGAGTGCAGGGTGTGAGGTAAATGTTATAGAGAGTGCGTGGTGCAGGTTGTGAGGTAAATGTTATAGAGAGTGCAGGGTGCAGGTTGTGAGGTAAATGTTATAGAGAGTGCAGGGTGTGAGGTAAATGTTATAGAGAGTGAGGTGGTGCAGGGTGTGAGGTAAATGTTATAGAGAGTGAGGTTGTGCAGGGTGTGAGGTAAATGTTATAGAGAGTGAGGTTGTGCAGGGTGTGAGGTAAATGTTATAGAGAGTGCAGGTTGTGAGGTAAATGTTATAGAGAGTGAGGTGGTGCAGGGTGTGAGGTAAATGTTATAGAGAGTACAGGGTGTGAGGTAAATGTTATAGAGAGTGAGGTGGTGCAGGGTGTGAGGTAAATGTTATAGAGAGTACAGGGTGTGAGGTAAATGTTATAGAGAGTGAGGTGGTGCAGGGTGTGAGGTAAATGTTATAGAGAGTGCAGGGTGTGAGGTAAATGTTATAGAGAGTGCAGGGTGCAGGGTGTGAGGTAAATGTTATCGAGGGTGCAGGGTGTGAGGTAATGTTATAGAGAGTGCAGGGTGTGAGGTAAATGTTATAGAGAGTGCAGGGTGCAGGGTGTGAGGTAAATGTTATAGAAAGTGAGGTGGTGCAGGGTGTGAGGCAAATGTTATAGAGAGTGCAGGGTGTGAGGTAAATGTTATAGCGAGTGAGGGGGTGCAGGTTGTGAGGTAAATGTTAAAGTTTGCAGGTGCGGTTGTGGAGTGTTTAGGGGACACATGGTAGGCTACCGCTTATAATTCCAGGCTCTATGTGCAGACTGTAGGTGCAGCCCACAGGATATACTTGTCGGTCATAGAATAGAGGCTACAGGATATATTTGTGTAGGATACAGGATACAGGTGCAGGATACAGGCTAAAGAGCACAGACTACAGAAGGCAGACAGACAGTGTGGTGCAGGATATAGCAGACACACTACAGGGAGACAGGCTACAGGGAGACAGGAAACAGGCTACAGAGTGCAGTAGAGACGGGCTACAGGGAGACAGGAAACAGGCTACAGAGTGCAGTAGAGACAGGCTACAGGGTGCAGTAGACGGGCTACAGGGTGCAGTAGACGGGCTATAGGGTGCAGTAGACGGGCTACAGGGTGCAGTAGACGGGCTACAGGGTGCAGTAGACGGGCTACAGGCTGCAGTAGACGGGCTACAGGGTGCAGTAGACGGGCTACAGGGTGCAGTAGACGGGCTACAGGGTGCAGGCTGCAGTAGACGGGCTACAGGGTGCAGTAGACGGGCTACAGGGTGCAGTAGACGGGCTACAGGCTGCAGTAGACGGGCTACAGGGTGCAGTAGACGGGCTACAGGGTGCAGTAGACGGGCTACAGGGTGCAGTAGACGGGCTACAGGGTGCAGTAGACAGGCTACAGGGTGCAGGCTGCAGAAGACGGGCTACAGGGTCCAGGAGACAGGCTACAGGGTGCAGTAGAGACAGGCTACAGGGTGCAGTAGACGGGCTACAGGGTGTAGTAGACGGGCTACAGGCTGCAGTAGACGGGCTACAGGCTGCAGTAGACGGGCTACAGGCTGCAGTAGACGGGCTACAGGGTGCAGTAGACGGGCTACAGGGTGCAGTAGACGGGCTACAGGGTGCAGTAGACGGGCTACAGGGTGCAGTAGATGGGCTACAGGCTGCAGTAGACGGGCTACAGGGTGCAGTAGACGGGCTACAGGGTGTAGTAGACGGGCTACAGGGTGCAGTAGACGGGCTACAGGGTGCACTAGACGGGCTACAGGGTGCAGTAGACGGGCTACAGGGTGTAGTAGACGGGCTACAGGCTGCAGTAGACGGGCTACAGGGTGCACTAGACGGGCTACAGGGTGTAGTAGACGGGCTACAGGCTGCAGTAGACGGGCTACAGGGTGCAGTAGACGTGCTACAGGCTGCAGTAGACGTGCTACAGGCTGCAGTAGACGGGCTACAGGCTGCAATAGACGGGCGAGACATGGAGTCGAGTGAGCACGTCGTGTCGCCCCCTCTCTACCTGGACTCTGATGAGGGGAGCGGCTGCAGTGATGCCGAGCTGTCGGATCAGCCTGAAGGTGAGTCACCCCCTGGGCAGGAGGAGATGCCAAATTGAGTGCCACGTGAATCTGTGGCTCTCTCAAAGCCTGTGAGAATCTTTGTCAGTCTGGGTCCTCTCAGTAATGCAACTCTATGGGGGTGCCGTGTAAGTTTGTGCGTCTCTATGGAAATCCTGGGTAGTAGTAGCCGCAGCCATAGCGAGAGGGGTACATCGGATGTGGTGTGCCGGGCGCAGAAATGTTTGTTCAGACCGGTCAGAAACCCTGGGAACGTGAATGGTCAGTTCGTTATCGTGATACACAGCTAGTGTATGTTGAACTTATTTCGTGCCGTACGAGCCAACCGTGCTAATCGGCGGTGCGTGGAAATTCAGCACGACGGCGAAAACCCACAGTCAGTGGTACCCCAGGGAAGATGGAACCTTGGGCTAAGGTTGGTCTCACCACGTGCCAACGTTGGGCCAATGCCCGCATGTTTGAAGTGCATTTCGCTGTGAAAGTTCGCATTTGCGAATGCATGGTTCGGGAGGGGTGGAGAGAGTTATTTTTAATATAATGGTTGCTAAGCACAGGACCCCACAAGCCCAAAATTAAAAGCGGCCTACAGGAGTAAATAAAAAAAGGATATTTGGTGATCCTGCTTCTGCTGCGTTGGCAGTGGTACCACGAGCACGTTTTTGACAATGGCCCTTCTGAGCACATTTGGAGTCGATGGATAAGAATGTGACCGGCTTCATGACTTTCGCGAGGTTATTATAGTCGACGCTTATGGACAATGTGAGGGAATCCAAAGTGGAGCGGTGCGCGGGAAAAAGCTGAGAGAGAAGTGAAAGGTTAATCGGTGGTGTGCGTGTGGCCTTGCGGAATTTGCGCTGTCTGTGTTATTTTACGCTGTATGTTGTGTTATGGTTGTACCAACAAACCGTCTACTCTGCGAGTCCAAACAGCAATGTTTTAACATAAACCGTAGCCATGAATTGTCACCAGGCAGTACGGAAGGAAGGACACAGAGCTGAAAGAGTAATAATTTAATAACGGATACGAAGAATTTGTAATCCCTTTGTCAATCCACTGTTGAGGGTAAGTTGACTATACTTCACCAAGCTGGTCGGTGCGGGTTGTTAATCAGGAGGGAGCCCAGAACCGATTCAGATATCACTTGCCACTGATGTTAGCCGTGGCCAGGAAATCAAACTCAGATTGCCAGGTTCATAGTGGGAGCCGCACTTGCTCACCGCTACGCCACCGGCTGTCCCCTTCATAATAAAGCATTTGATAAAGATGTAATATTTTAAATAAAATGGTAAATGTGTTTCAGTTCGATATTTTAGAGCTGTGTTGAATATCTGGTGGGTTTTTTATGCATTTATTTTACTGTCAAGCTCTTTGGGATGCCCTTGAACGAAGAGGACTCTAAAAAATCAGAGTGGAACTGTACGGTTTTTTAGAAATAACCGCAGGCAATGACGTGGCAAGATGGGTCCAAGAGATGGCCTTGGCTTTCCCCTATGTTTTTGGTGCAGGCAACACAGACAACATCGACAGTAAAAAAATAAACCCCATCAAGATCAAAATGATTCATTGAAACGGCAACAGCCACCAACATAACGGCGATTAAACTCCAGCGCGTTAGTTAGCGCGCTATTTTTAGCTGCGTGGAGAGACTGAGAGTTGATTGCTGCTCCCGCCGCTGTCGCCGATGATGGTGGCTATGATGATGTTGTAGTCTCTTTAATGTGCGTTGATTTCTCGTCTCTAATTGCTTTCTCTCGCACCTTGCGTGCCTCGTCTTGCCAACCGGGAGTGCAGCGAGCAACGCAGAAGACACGCATATCTCCCCACCGTACCCACCACACACCCTCTTCTTCCTCTTCCGTCATCCGATAACGCATGCCGCCACCGCACTCCGAAATGAAACGCATTTAGGCCGAGGACACATTTGTGCAGATTAGAGAAAAGGGCGGCGGTCGTGTGTCTCTCCCTGCCCGTCCGGAAATGAAGAGTACCGGTCCGTTGGCCTTTATCGAGCGCTTATTGTCGTTATCGTCACCGCTGCTGCTGTGTGCATGTCAAGTGGTCAAGTTAAAAACAGTTCAGTGGGAATTTTTGCGTTCATATTCCCGAAGCGATAGTGCGGTGGTTTGCCGACCCGAGTTTGATTACCCGCCACGACGGTTAACGTGAGTGGCGTGTAATGTATTTAAACTGGGCTGCAGTGACCGGCGTGGTGAAGTATGGTCATATGACGCCCCCCACGACCCGTACGTACGCCGTGGCGAAGCCCTCGGCCTGTATTGGATCCAGACATGTAGAGTTCACACTGGCCGCTTTCCCTGAATAACGTTTGATGGAGGTTCCATTGTCTATAACCCTAAACCACAACATTAACCCAAACGTCAATCCTATTACTAATCCTATCCCTGCCATTGAGTCCCGAACAGGAGCCCCTAAGGGGGTAACGATAAAGTTTCAGCCTTGCAATTATTCACTCAAGCAACTGCTGGAAAATAGGCCTCCACTAGAGCCCCCTCTACAAAGGGTATTTGACCGACTCTTCTAGACTTCATCCTCGCCACACGCGACCTGCTGATCGATCAATCATTTCTACCGCTGGGTGCGTGAGAGGAGGGAGGATTTGAGATACGGGCCCGCTGTTTCATTTGCCACGGCCGGAGGTCAAACCCCAGCGGCCCTCATCCCACCACGGCAGTGTATCCCTGCGAGCCCCCGATTCTTATCCCAAACCCCAACGTGAACATAAGCGCTCAATCAGTTGGCTGCTGCACAGTGAAGGACACACATTATTTACTATGTTAAACGTTTTACAGTTGAAAGAAATTAAATGCCTACGAACAAGTCCATTGTATATATTGTATAAGCTTGATCCTTGACGGTCGGTGTTTGAGATGGAATTTTACACTGGGCTACCACAGCTATTTGTGTTTTGTTCCTACGTATGTATTTTGAGTTATGTAAGTGTAGCAAAATAACATTCCGGTTTTTTATTGTTTTGAGAGATCATACTTTAGTGAAGCTCACTGTTAGCTGCATTGCTATTTATTTATTTACAAGCTCAAAGCCAAAGCCAGACTCCTGCCGAGCAAATTAATTGTTCTACTTGTGGCACCGGCGATGGCTCCTTTGCACAAGATAACAATGGCTGTGACCAAAGAGGCCCTTGGTGTTGGGCGGATAAAAGAAAGAAAATTACAAAAAAACTACGACGTTTCGATCACAACACAAACGATCGTCATCAGGAGAGAAAAAAACACGAATACAGTTTTAAAAAAATAATGGTGCTGAATTTACAGGACATTGTAAAACCCGTTGATAAAAACAGAAGCCATAATACAGGTTTTCTGGGTTAGATCGCGTAAATATAAATGTGTCGATCAACCCGCCACCACCCGACACAGCCAATTCGTAGGGTTTGTTACGTAAACAGAACGTGCCAATTCGTTAATTGTACAGCACATCGGTGTGTTTAAGAGTAAATCCACAACATTTACAATCTGAGTACGACATTTCCCCAGTAATTACAACCAGCATCATTAGTCCATAGCCAGCAGCGCTGGGGATTTTTTTTATTTCGTTGTTTCCTGTTTGATAGTTTCTATAGCGATTAATTTTCCGTCTTTTTTTTCCTGGTCACGGCGACTTTGCGTCGCGACTTAATTTAGCGAACCAATCCGCTCGCCGCCGACGTGGAGAGTGGGTCTGTGCGAGCCGGTTTTTATTAAAAAATGTTTTTAAATCTTTCGCCTGGAGATTCCCTCGATATGCAAACGTCCTGTTGTTTGCAAGGGCGTCCACTAGCATCGTGCGACACATGTACAAGCATGTAAACGATACCACTAATGCGCACGTTTAAAATCTACAATGTACACCGTAGACGTTTATACAGTGTCAAATGCGTTTTACACGGTGTCAAGGACTTTCACAGGACAGGCAATGCAGCATGCTCGAAAATAACAGCGCAGTCAAATCCATAGACAGATGGTGTAACACCGCTGGTTCACGTTAAACTAAAACCTAGTTTTATTTTTCCAAGTAAGGCCCACTGAGCTATATAGCTCTTTTTCAGAAGTGACGTGGCCACAAATAGCTCGAAGAAGAGGCTTATCACGTGGACATATATCGGAGACAAATACCCTAAAAACGCGTGATGTTTATTTTAAATGTGGAGGGAAAAACCGGAGGAACCGTAGAGTGTTCTCTCACAGTGAGAAGTCTCAACGAGTGACTTCCTACTCGGATGAGCGATTGAGGCAGTGCTCACATTCGGTTTACCACCGTAAGCCAGTGATGTATATTCAACATCCAAATGGCGGGTGTCAGTTTATCTGTAGTACAACCAACTGTTTACTTCCCCACAAAAGTGGTATCTATTTTATTAGCCCCGGAAAAAATGATGGTCCGAGTCAATCCGCACCCGCCACCCCCCTCCCCGCCTCCCATGAACTCGTGACCTTCCCTAATGCGGGTCGCTTGCTCTACTGCTGAGCCACCTGGCATCTGTAGCAGTCATAGCGCCGTGCGTAAATCGGTCTAGTTGGAAAGTTTTGAGAACGAGGCGCTGTGTCGCCAAACTTACCCAATCTAAATCGCGTCTTTCCTGCGAACGAGCTCGGTGTTTGTTTTGGCCACTGATCGATCGTCCAATGGGTGGTTTCTCCTTCCGTGAAGGCTCTTCCCTTCGGCTGAAATTTCCACCCCAGGTTTCAACGACATCCATACTGCGGACCCCTCCCTGGTCATGTGACTCTAATGGAACTGGCCTTGACATCCATTGGTGTACAGCTTTGAGCATCATCCTCCCTGATGAGGGAGGATGATGCTCCGGTTTCCAAACATTCATAAAGCAATTATTTGGTGATACTGACGTTGGCAGTGCTGCACAAGCACAAGGAACATAAAAAAATGTGGACCAATCAGTTTCAAGGACAATGCATATATTATCAGAGTGTGTTTTTGTTTGCATTTTGACTGAAAGTATTGTGGTTAATGCAGACATGAAT